TGGCATGTTGTATAGAGCGCTTTGAGTGCTCCGAGAGAGTAGAAAAGCGCTATATAAGAATCAGTCCATTTACCATTTACCATTACTATTTAAACTCATACACCTTCACTACCTCTACTCCTTTCACCTTCAGTGTTCCCCCGTCTCCCTCTCATTCATACACATGTATTTAGTCTTACATTTACAATGACTATTCTTTTCTTTTCTATTCTATTCTATTCTTGCTTTTATTGCCTTTCATTCATTTTCTCTCCAGTGCACATGCCCACCTCTCCAGGCTCTCTGCCACCTGCTAAAATCTGTAACAGGGCTACACCCTCGCTGCAGGAAGGAGCGCTTTCGCAGATCATTCATCCCAACAGCAGTTAGACTCTATAACTCCTCAATCACGATGTCATAAGTCACTGGACACTGTGAACATTCACGGTCACCACTTCATGTATAATGGACCTTCCATGTGTATGGACATGTGCAGGTATATATGTATGTATATCTATACATATGTATATTTAGTGTATTTAGTATATTTAGTATGTACATGTGTGTGTGTGTACATGTCTATAAACAGGAATAGTAGTGGTACAATAGCTATATCAAGCTATATAGTTTATGTCTTCCATATTTCCAACCATATCCATAATCACATACTGTGTATGCTACCATTGTATATAGTGTATTATACTGTGTATGCTACTATTGTATATAGTGTATTATACTGTGTATGCTACCAGTGTATATAGTGTATTATCTTACTTTTTTTCATTGATTGTACTTATTGTATTTTTGTATTTCCTTCTGATATCTGTACCTGAGCTGAGGTGACGCAAAAATCCCCGTTGTGGGATCAATAAGGTCTTATCTTATCTTATCTTATCTTTCAGTAGTTCTGAACAGAAGACCTACTGAAAGCTAAAATAAATCTCCTGCAGTTTGGAGACCGGGAGTTCTACAGGGACTGGTGGTGAGTCGTCAAGCATACATTTTCTGTGTGACTCCTCTCATCTTTCATTTATTTATTTATTTGCTTCTTCCATTTTTCTGTTACTTTAATATGTTGTTGTAGCAGTCTGTCAGATGTAGGAGAAGTGATGGTGTTTCCAAATGCAACAGATGATGTATCACATAGGTTTCAAAGAGTGTTTTCCTAGGAATATTGATTCAAATCGCACTGCAGTTTTGACATCAGTTCCTTAAACTGCTCTTGATTTCAGGAACTCTGAGACTGTCACATACTTCTGGGCCAACTGGAACATCCCAGTGCACAAGTGGTGCCTGAGGTGAGCAGCAAACTCTGTAATGACAAGTCTTAGTATTTCCACATGGTTTGATTGGTTGGCTTTGGTCTCATTAATAGTGCATGTATAGTTATATACCCAGATATAAAAAGAAAGACCAGGAGTCATTTGTCTGTTTCCCTGTTTTGCAGACATTTCTATAAGCCAATGTTGAGGAAGGGGGTGAACAAATTTCTGGCTCAAACTGCTGTTTTTCTGGCTTCTGCCTTTTTCCATGAGGTAAATGAGCAACATTTAGCCTCAAACACCTTTGATGGCTGTTTTTACTTCTGTATGTGAAGCAGACTGTTTTTACTAAATGTTTTATTCCTACATGAAGGCAGAAATTCAGAGGTTCCTGGTGCATGCACAGAAAGAAGAGTTGCTAGCTTACAGCATCACTGTTATAAATGCAACTGCTGAGTTCTAAAAAAAGGGAATCTATTTCTTTCCTCAGTACCTGGTGAGTGTTCCTCTCAAGATGTTTAGACTGTGGGCATTCATGGGAATGATGGCTCAGGTAAGGCCCTATATTTATTCATTTATTTCATTATATACTGAGGCATACACATGCATTCACCTCTGACTTTAAACCCTTCAGGTTCCTCTGGCTTTGTTCGTAAGTCGCTTCCTGAACGGAAACTATGGCAACGCGGCCGTGTGGATCTCACTCATCATTGGACAGCCCATCGCCGTGTTGATGTACGTCCATGACTACTATGTCATTCATTACGGGAGCACTACATAACACAGGACAGACACCCACACACCAGTCTGCAGAACACGCCAATAAGGTATTATAGAGCAGGTTCAGGGGAATCCATGGCAAGCTGATGTTTATGAAGCTGTTGAAGCATTGGCACGAAAGTTGTGAATTCATTTTTGCACATTAGAAAACCATCAGGAATTGATTTTGGATATTTAGGCGTCTTGTCTAGTCTCACACTGCACCCCTGTCAGCCTCCAACTGTGCGATCCACTGTACGAAAACAAATATATGGCGCTAGTGGTTTAATCTACCATTCATTGGCTCAAAGGTTAGACTTCTTTGGGGGTTGGGGACTTCTCTGCTTTAATACATTCATCTTAAAAGTGGGAAGACTAATAAAAACCACACGCTCCTCCGCTCAGTGAATGTTTAAGAATGCACATACCAGCAGGTGCAACAAGTGTGAACCACTGGAAACTGTGCACAAGCTACAGCCTGGATCCAGGATCCTTCTTCCAGAGAAACTATATGAAAATGGAGATTCTATATCAGGGGCTGAGGAGCATCTCTTTGTATATCCAGAGGCAACACTTTTAAATGTTAAAGCCATTAAACTTCTACAAGCTAAAGCCTGACATCCTGGTCGACCACTTAAGAATCTCCAGAGCTTGACATAGACCAGACTGACTTTTGCATGTATCCTTGGATGCAATATAACTTCCAGTATTACGGACGGTATATTAAAAATGACATTGAAAATGTCCGAAGGTAGAAAACTGAAGGAAACAAGGATTCCTCTCCAAAAAGACTGAGCACCAGGAGGTTGATGTGGATTTATTTGATTATCTTGGAAAAAGATAATCAAATAAAAGATTATCTTGGAAAGGCAACTGTCACTGAAAACGTGTGGTGTTTGATTTTAAAAAAAAATCATTTATCTGGTTAATGGACGTCTGTTTGTGTTTCATTAACTCTTTCCCCCATTTGGTGACCTCCCCTGACTTTTGACACCATAGTACATATCAGTGAAGATGTGGTTTGTTGGCTATTTGAATAGCTTCCAGGTTTTTCTAAGAGTAATTACATAGGCAAAGACCACCCTCACAAACTTCTGATGCAAACCCATTTTGTTCTATAAGCAGGCCTGAAATATGGCAGAAATGAAAAGGGCTTCAAGGCCAACTTCTAGTAGGTTTTCAGTTGGTAAAGACTTAAACAAGTAGT